CTGGTGGCGGGAGGGGGAGTAGGTGGCCTGCCAGATACTCGCCAGCATGCCGGGACTGCGCCCAGAAGCCATCCTTGGGCTGCAGCAGGGTCGATGCAGGAGAACGGCTCAAGCTTCGGTTTGTGCACAGCCCCCAGCAGCTGTTTGAGGAGGTAAATGGGTTTCTGGCACCACCCTAAATCCTGGAGCTGAATTACTCCATCCACCCGTAGCAGGGTGGCAAAACCAACCTGTCCGGCCCTTTCATCAGAGTTACCCTGTGCTGTTACAGAAGACATCCCACAGACAAGGAGCCCTTTACATTATCAGGAACAACATACTGGTTGTCTGAATGGATGCAGTGGTGAGGTGAGGTGATGGGCTCTAGCACAAGGTTCCTCCAGGGTGCAGGTGGAGAAGACACTTGTTACTGCTGTGAGAGCAAGGCAGATGCCTGCCCTGGCCTGTGTCGCCAGCTCCGCAGGGCGCTCAGCGGTCTGTGCTGGTTCCCGCTCCGTCTGCCAGCCCCCGCGGACGGCCGTGTGCTCCCAGCTCCCTGCCAGACGCTGCTGCTACAGGACAGCCAGCTGCAAACTGCAAAGCATGGGGGAGGACAAAAACAACAGAGAAGAAAACTGAGGTAGATGCGCTGGCCCGCAGCCTGTGCCCATGTTGGTGCCATCCTGGCTCAGTGGTGCTGGCTGTGCTCAGGGGGGCACGAGAAGGGGTACCTGTGTGGCCGTGGGGCTGCCCTGGCCTGAGGGGGTGGGGAGGGAGAACCCCTGGCAAAGGGCAACATCCCTGCCGGAGCACCCCGGGGCTGCGCTGCCTTACAGAACCAGGCAGCGTGGGCTCCGTTCCCCTCCAGCATGGTTTTTTTTTGGGTGCGATGGGGGGTGCTTGGAGCCCCACTCCTGGGGGACCCTGCTGCTCCCCTGCGCTGACCCTGCGCAGCTGCCGATGCTGGCCCTAGGTTTAGCACCAGTGTTTGCAGAGCGTCAGGGCCTCTGGGGCTCAAAATGTTTATTTTTTCATTGTAACTGAAGATGTTCCTCAGCATTAGAGCAGACTTCTCATGAAAAACTGTTCTTCAGCAAATAAATAATTTCCAGGGCGGGGATGAGGAAGGAGGAACAGCCGCCTGCTGACTGCGGGGCACAGCCCAGGGCTGATGCCACTGCGAAGGGAGCACTGGCCG